GCCTATAGCTCCCACGTCTCTCCCCCTCCCACAACTGGGCCTATAGCTCCCACGTCTCTCCCCCTCCCACAACTGGGCCTATAGCTCCCACGTCTCTCCCCCTCCCACAACTGGGCCTATAGCTCCCACGTCTCTCCCCCTCCCACAACTGGGCCTATAGCTCCCACGTCTCTCCCCCTCCCACAACTGGGCCTATAGCTCCCACGTCTCTCCCCCTCCCACAACTGGGCCTATAGCTCCCACGTCTCTCCCCCTCCCACAACTGGGCCTATAGCTCCCACGTCTCTCCCCCTCCCACAACTGGGCCTATAGCTCCCACGTCTCTCCCCCTCCCACAACTGGGCCTATAGCTCCCACGTCTCTCCCCCTCCCACAACTGGGCCTATAGCTCCCACGTCTCTCCCCCTCCCACAACTGGGCCTATAGCTCCCACGTCTCTCCCCCTCCCACAACTGGGCCTATAGCTCCCACGTCTCTCCCCCTCCCACAACTGGGCCTATAGCTCCCACGTCTCTCCCCCTCCCACAACTGGGCCTATAGCTCCCACGTCTCTCCCCCTCCCACAACTGGGCCTATAGCTCCCACCAATGGACCTATAGCTCCCTCGTCTCTCCCCTGTCTCCGTACTTGTAAGTAAAGTTGATGGGCATACTTAATACCAAGGTAGATGACAGCACACTCGTTATCATTATGCTATATATTTTTGTTACACAAGTGCTTTTTTGTAATGGTTGTTGTTTGTAATTTTTATTAAAAAAAATCTTGAACAAATTGTATCTGGATTTTGTTTTTCTCCTACTGTGGTAACCTAGAAACCTGTTTTCAATTAAAACACCTTAAGGGTCACAAATTTGGGAAAGTTTTATTGGCAAGCAGTCAACATTTGATGTTCAACATAAGCCAAAGCTCCCAATCCAGAACATATAGTAAACCTATAAATAATGCCTCTGATTTCATTTGCCATATTTATTTCCTTTTTACGAGTCCTCGCATGCCTCTTTGAGTTTGTTACTAAACCTGTAACTACATTGTACATCATTTGGCTAATGGAAACATTTTCCTAGACAAACTTGCCTTTCACTGATAAAATTCATATTTGCCCTGCGTTAATTTTGCCCTTTCATATATACCAGTAACTATATTCTTCATAGTATATTGTATGTACTAATATTCAATGCTTTGGTAAATTACTTAGGTAAAAAAAAAAAAAGGCAAAAGTTAATCTTGCAAAAAGTTACAGGTATACTCCATTGGGATCACACCTCGTCATTATACAACAAAAACCTGAGAATATTCATTTATAGAATTTATGGGGTTTTGTATATAAACTCAATTTTACTCAGTCCTATGTGGAACAAAACTTGATAGTAGAAATAAAAGGATATCAGTTGAATTTACATAGCTGTTTATTCAATATCTAGTACATTTCTCAACCACAGTGATCATGATCTTGGGTATAATGAAGACATTGTGTTACAGATATAAAATAACATGTAACAGATCTTCCAGGACCTTCAATATAATGTGTGACCCTTAACGCATTCCTATTGTATCAGTAGTAGGCGTCATTATAGAATTCAATGCAGTATATGGGAACACCTATTGAATGTTAATATTTGAAACCTTGCTATTCCAGGCTTACATATTCCATGAGAATTAATTGACTGATAATAATTAACGAATAAAGAGGAACTAAATAACCTTGAATTCAATTTTCTGTTTTATAAATGTGGACAATTAATTAAGGATGATATAAACCACCACAAATAATACATGTATACCCTGATGATATAAACCACCACAAATAATACATGTATACCCTGATGATATAAACCACCACAAATAATACATGTATACCCTGATGATATAAACCACCACAAATAATACATGTATACCCTGATGATATACAACACCACAAATAATACATGTATACCCTGATGATATAAAACACTACAAATAATACATGTATACCCTGATGATATAAACCACCACAAATAATACATGTATACCCTGATGATATAAACCACCACAAATAATACATGTATACCCTGATGATATAAACCACCACAAATAATACATGTATACCCTGATGATATA